CCCCGGGACTTCCCCTGGCCGCTGCCTGCATGCCCGGACACCCAGATTCACGCGCAGAGCTGACAGTGGCTAATTAAGTCCTAGGCTTTATGGTCCGGGAAAGGGGAGTATTCTATAAAATCACTGTTCTGCGATGAGGGCGCCACTCGCGTGCAGAGCTGCTGTAGACACTGCCCCCACCGCACGCAGGGGAAGCGGCCTGGAGCAGCGGGGAGGGGATCATTGCTCATGATATTAAAAAAAAATAATGGACTCATTAAGAAAAATACCTTTTCAGAGCATTAAAATTAGAGGTGATGGATTCCGTGGTTACACGGTCTTCTCTTCCTTTCCAGGCTTTATTTAGAGCTGTTTTTCCACGTCGGCTGTCTGCGCTGGCTTTGCCTGCAGCACGCAGGCCCTCGGCCCCAGGAGCAAGGCGGGGCAGCCCAGGCACCAGCAGGAGGGCTGGCAGGCCCCGAGTGCGAGTCCACTAGGTCTGCTGGAAAGTCACCGGGAGGGTGCACGGCGGGAGTCACGGGGGGTGCGTGGCGAGCGCCGGCCTTGGCATGGGCATCTGCCTGGCCCCTCCTCCTCATTTGCCTGGCCCCTCCTCCTCTCATTTGCCTAGCTCCTCCTCCTCTCACCTGCCTGGCCCCTCCTCCTCATTTGCCTGGCCCCTCCTCCTCATTTGCCTGGCCCCTCCTCCTCTCATTTGCCTAGCTCCTCCTCCTCTCATTTGCCTGGCCCCTCCTCTCATTTGCCTAGCTCCTCCTCCTCTCATCTGCCTGGCCCCTCCTCCTCTCATTTGCCTAGCTCCTCCTCTCATTTGCCTAGTTCCTCCTCCTCTCATCTGCCTGGCCCCTCCTCCTCTCATCTGCCTGGCTCCTCCTCCTCTCATCTGCCTGGCTCCTCCTCCTCTCATCTGCCTGGCCCCTCCTCCTCTCATCTGCCTGGCCCCTCCTCCTCTCATCTGCCTGGCCCCTCCTCCTCTCATCTGCCTGGCTCCTCCTCCTCTCATCTGCCTGGCCCCTCCTCCTCTCATCTGCCTAGCTCCTCCTCCTCTCATCTGCCTGGCCCCTCCTCCTCTCATCTGCCTGGCCCCTCCTCCTCTCATCTGCCTGGCCCCTCCTCCTCTCATCTGCCTGGCTCCTCCTCCTCTCATCTGCCTGGCCCCTCCTCCTCTCATCTGCCTGGCCCCTCCTCCTCTCATCTGCCTGGCTCCTCCTCCTCCCATCTGCCTAGCTCCTCCTCCTCTCATTTGCATGGGCTCCTCCTCCTCTCCTGAATCACAGCTCTGTTGCTGCAGCCTGGGACGGTTCACTTTATTAGCCCCGTATGGAAGGATCACACATTTTCATCTTGCAGTGGCCAGGGAGGGCGGCCTGATGGATCCTGGGCCTTCGTCGGCTTGTCTGGACATGGGCTGCTGCTGCTCCACTCCTGGGCCCCAAGCAGTGGCTTTTAGGGAATATTTGGGGCCCAGGCGCCTCGGGACAGTCTTGGAAGCAACCTGCGGGAGAAGAGTGCCCAGTGGTGCCGTCCTAGCCTGTGGGTCCCCAGAGGGCCGCGTCCACTGCCTGCGGTCACTCCCGCCAGCCCGGGCCTGGCCGTCCATCCTGTTCACTACAGCCTCTGTGTTCCAGAGCCACCTTCTGCTTTTCTGAGTGCGTCGTCCCTGAAGGACGAGGCTGGGGTGTGTGGCAGGCACAGGAGGGCTGCGTACCCCAGAGTCTTCACTCAGGAGCAGAGGAGGGGAACCCCGGGGTTGGGGGAGCGTAGGTACAATGAATGGGGAAATGGAGGTCCCAAGATGGTGACCCGGGGCTTGAGAGCATGGCTTTGTGCACTGTGTGTGGCAGGGACCAGGGCTTCCCGGTGTGTGCCAGGCTGGGCAGGGCCCATGGGCAGAGCTGTGGCCAGCTGCCCCTGGGGTGGGCCTGCTCCCCAGTGGCGTGTGTGCTCACTCCCAAGTTCATGCCAGCCAGGAGGAGCGGAAGGGGGGGCAGGGCTCTGGGCCAGCAGGGCCAGGGCCACAGGCTCCGCCAGGCATCTGCTCTCAGGAGCCGCTAGCCCTGGTCACCAGCCACCCGCGCAGAAGATCCTGGGACTTTTGACTCACAAAACACCACCTTCGTCGCTTGGATGGCCGCAGAAGCCGGGAGGCTGAAGCCATGCTACCCGGGGAGCCTGTGCGGGGGAGTCGGCTAGGGGCGAGAGAATGTTGATTGTACTTTCAGAACAATGACGCGGCTCAGGAAGGACCGAGCGAGCTCCAGGAGGGAGAATCAGATCAGCCAGCAGGCCTCCTCGGCCTGGGCCCTGCAGGGCACATTCATGTGCCATTTATTGCCATTCGCCTCTGGGGACTGAGCCTGTGACCGTCACCCATTCTTCTCCTGAGCTGCTGCTGCAAACGGTCCTACTGGTGGACTGGAGCCCGATCTGGGGGAGTGAGGGCCGCTCACCCCGCTGCGCCCCCTAGCCTTCCTCCCAGGCCCCAGGACCATGGCACAGGACCCCTGGAGAAGTGGATTCCAGTAACCTTGGGGTTGGCTGCTGTGCACGGACGATGGGCCACCAGGTGGCGATGGAGGACCAGCCAGGGCAGGGGGCACCCAGTCGGGAGGCCAGCTGGAGACCGGCTCCTCTGTTACGGATAAGGCCGGTCCATCCCGGAGCTCAGATTCCCGGACCCCAGCAAGAACACCTGGGGCGAGTCTAGACCCAGAAGAATCCATGGAGTGTTTGAACCCAGGGTGGCCTTTACACCTGGCCCTGGTGTCCACTCTCCCTCCTTCCCTTCCTCCAGAGTCAGGCCCCCATGTCCACCCTCCCTCCTTAGGCTGGGCCCTCACCCCCTTACTGTCCGGAGGACAGGGTGGGGGTCTGAAAGGGGAACAATGACATGTGCTCAGATGACCGGGCTGGACTGTCTCCTCCTGGGACATGGGGGAGAGTCCTGAGGTCACCAGCCCTGTGGCAGGCAGCAAGACCACCGCTATGAACCTGGAGAGACTGGCTTATCCCTAAGCAAGCGTGGGTCCTGGACCTCAGCGGGCCCTGGGTGCGGGCCTCACCTAGAGCCGCCCCAGCAGGGCTCTGAGAGTTTGAGAGGTTGGTAGGAGACCGCCAGCAGGGGGCAGAGGTGGGGCCAGCCCTTCGGCTGTGGGTGAGAGGTGTTTAACGTGCTTGCTCCTCCTGGATATGGTTCTGAACCAACGTCCCGTGACTTGAAGGAGGGCACAAGCCCTTTGGGTGGAACTGGGGTTTGAACTCAGGACCTCACGGTTGCCAGACGGGTGCTCTGCTGCTCCGGCTGTGCCCTCATCCCACGGAGGGCTCTTTGCTGGGTCCTCAGAGCCCTTGGAAAGCCTGCCCTGCCCGTCAGGACAGGAAGGGGGCGAACCTCCTATAAATCCAGACGCAGAGGGCGCCCCTCCACCAGGCTGCGGGCTGGGTGGGGCCGATGGACTGGGGGTCCTCCCGGGGCGCGGGGCGGCCTCTGCTCTGTCTCGGTGCGGCCCGGCTCTGGGGGAGAGCGCACCGTGCGCCTGGAGGCAGCCGCAGCTCCATAAACTTCTCTAGTGAGGTGACAGCCGCCCGCCGGCTGCCGGCCTCATCTCAATTCATTTTCCCCTCCACCCACGGTCCGGCCCAGCCAGGCTCACGCGCATGAGTGTGGGGGGGTTCTGAAAAATGGCCTGCCAGCGGCGCTTATTCAAATCCCGGGTGATTTATGAGTGTGGACAGCTTTAAGGCCGCCGTGGAGCGGGTCGTCAGCCAGACTGCTGAACTGACACTTTCCAAAGTGAGCGCAAAGGCGCGCCGGGGCGGGCCCAGCCCCACACCACCAGCCGGGCGCCGGGCCCCCGCCGCCCCCCTCTACCAGAGACGGGGCCTGAGCGTGTGCGGCCCCTGCGTGGACCTGGGGTGTCCTGTAGGCCTGCAGCGTGAACACAGAGCAGGGGAGGCACTGCCAGCGCGGGGAGCACTGGAGCACCGGGTGCTGTGACTCCAGGGCCTGGCCAGGCCACTCCTGACCAACCCTGACCAGCCCTGACCAGCCCTGACCAGGAGGTGGTGGGACCAGCCCTGACCCCAGGGATGGCAGGAGCTGCTGTCCAGGGGAGGCTGGTGTGCGTGCGTGTGAGTAGGAGTGCGTGCGGTCTCGAGCAGCGGCTGCAGGGTTTGAGGCAGGGGCAGGCAGCTTGGAGTTCCAGTGCTAGGCCCTGGCCTGACGCAGCCACCATGGGGGTTAAGGGTAGGGGATGCAGGATGGGGTGGGGGTCAAGGGAGGGGGCTGCCCTGCACCCCGGCACTGCCCTGGCCTGCTCTGGCCTCACACAGCCGCGTGGGGTCCCGCCAGCACGCTCTCAGGATTTCCTAAGCGCAGCTGATCAGTGAGAAGAGGCTGAGGTGGTCCCGCCTGTGGCCCGGCTGTCCACATGGTGAGACCCAAGAAGACACTGACGTCAGAGCTCTGGCGCTTCCATGTGGCCGTGAGAATGTGAGTACATCTTGGCACACGGTTTACACGTGTGCAGGCCTTGTACCTGGGAACACACAGGTTTGTGCACAGTGTGTCTGCCGCCACACGGAGGTGTGGCACTTGTGTGTGTAAGGCTGTGAGTGTGTGGGTGTGCGTGTGCAGGGGACAGGGCTGACTCCTGGCTCTGGGGGTGGACGGCTGTCTGTGCCGTGCCCGGCACCCCTGCCTGCGGTGGGTGCGGGTGTCCCGGAGCAGGGTCCTCTTGGTGTGGCCGCTGAGGGCCTCTGGAGGACACTTGGGAGTTGATCTCCAGCTTGTGAGGTGGGGAGCCCTGGTGTGGGGTGGGGGACTGGGAAGGGCACGGAGCCCTGGCCCTGTGGGCTCCGGCCACCTGTCAGGAACACGGGTGGCCTGGAGGAAGGCGTGGGGCGGTGGGAGCGGGCCCCGGGCAGCTGGGGCTCTCGTCACCGGCAGCGGAGTCTGACAGGACGGGAGCCGCGTCCCTTGGCGTGTGTGACCCCTCCCAGAGATGTCGGACAGGCCAGAGCCCAGCTCCCCCTGGCAGGAGCGAGCCTGTGCCCCCCGAGGGGCTGCAGCCGGCCAGGGCCCCCGGGCCCTGCTGCTGGTGGAGCCGGGGCAGCCTCCAGGCGGCCTGAGGACAGCCTGGCTTAGGAGGTAGCACGTGGCTCTCCGAATGCCGTGGCGCCCTCACAGGTGACATCGCGGCAGGGCTGGGCGCGGACAGATGGTGGCCACCTGGGAGGGAGGCGCTGAACGAGACAGCTGGGAGCAGGGTGGAGGGAGGGAGCAGGAAGAGGACCAGGGCTCTGGGCAGGCTCTGGTCTGCTCTGCGCTTGGCCTAGCAGCCCGGGGGGAAGGTGATCCTGGCAGGTGAGCGGCGCTGTGGTGCTGTGGATTGGTGCAGTCTGGGAGGTGGCCCCTGCCGGGTGGCCGGACCTTGCCGGATGTTCCCAAGACCAGCACCTGCTGTGCCTGGATGACAAGGGTGCCACTGCCACGGGCCCAGAAATGAGGCTGTGGGTCACAAGTGCAAACCTGCAGCTAGTGAATATTTAACAATGCCTAACAAAAGCGCATGCATAATTAACCAGGCGGCAGAGGGAGCTGGAATAATTTGTCTTCTTAAAGGGGATTTGGTAATTTGTTAAGCTGTTTTGAAATCTGCAGTCTAGCTGCTGGAGCCGCTCTGATTTCTAAATTAATTTGTGTGATTTAGAAAGTGGAGCCGCCCGGTTCTGGGGTGGCCGCACGGCGGGCGGGCGGCCAGAGGTTCTGCGGCGCTGGCTTGTTCTCTTTCTGTTGTGTTGACAGATGGATTGGTGCGCGCATTCCTGGAGCCCCTGCGGGCGCTGTCCGTGGCCCCCGACTCTGTGTGCGGGATCTGTGGCAGGGGCCCTGGGCCCTCCTGGTGGTGTCCCCCACCGCCCTGCTCACCGCTGGCTGAGGTGGTGGGCGCTCACCTGAGCGGCCCGCAGACCCCAGGCCGCAGGAAGCTCAGCCCTGGGGCTCACCATGACGGCAGCAGACCAGGCAGCCAGGGTCTGGAAGGTGAGGTGCGATTCAGGTCACAGAGGGTGACCTCGGAGGAGCCCACCCACCCCCAGGCTCAGGTTCCTAAGCTGCGTGCCCTGCTGCGGGACACTGATCCGGAGCCTGTGTCACAGCTGGGGAGACCCCTGCCAAGCCCCACAGGGCCTTCACAGAGCCTGCCCCCTCCCGCTGGGGGTGGGAGGCAGGTAGGGGGAGGAGCTGTGCTGTGAGGGAGACTGACTGGTGGCCAGGAAGGACCTGCCCATCCAGACTAGGACCAGAACACAGCCCTCCCACCAGGAAGCAGCCAGGCCACGCCCCTCCGACCAGGAAGCAGCCAGGCCACGCCCCTCCCACCAGGAAGCAGCCAGGCCACGCCCCTCCGACCAGGAAGCAGCCAGGCCACGCCCCTCCCACCAGGAAGCAGCCAGGCCACGCCCCTCCCACCAGGAAGCAGCCAGGCCACGCCCCTCCCACCAGGAAGCAGCCAGGCCACGCCCCTCCCACCAGGAAGCAGCCAGGCCACGCCCCTCCCACCAGGAAGCAGCCAGGCCACGCCCCTCCCACCAGGAAGCAGCCAGGCCACGCCCCTCCCACCAGGAAGCAGCCAGGCCACGCCCCTCCCACCAGGAAGCAGCCAGGCCACGCCCCTCCCACCTGGAAGCAGCCAGGCCACGCCCCTCCCACCTGGAAGCAGCCAGGCCACGCCCCTCCCACCAGGAAGCAGCCAGGCCACGCCCCTCCCACCAGGAAGCAGCAGTGTCATCACCTGCTGACATTTTCCCTGTGGTCCCGGGTCCTTCTTTCTTCCCTGGGGACCTGGGTCTCCCTGGTCATTGTGGGTCACCTGCCCAGCGGAGCCTGTCCTCATCAAATCCTGAAGCCTGTGAAGGGGTTTCCGGGTGGGGTGGGCGCGGAGCAGGCCTGGTCCTCACCGTGTGGCGTCGGGCTCCAGCCGCGGCAGGGCCTCGGTTTGACGCTGTGCCCGACAGGTGGCATCTGCTTTGCACTCTGGGCTTGGTGCCCTGGACAGATGCAGCCTCTGCCCACAATCGCCAGGCGGGGAGGCAGGGGAGGACCTGGGGGAGGACCTGGGGGGAGCTGAGGGTGGCCGGGTCAGCCTGGCCGGGGCAGGCCCGGAGCAGGGCTGCGGTAGAGCGAGCGTGAGGGGCTGGCGTGGGGTCTCAGGCGGAGGAGGGGACGAGGAAGGCTGAGTCAGAACCTTGAGTCAGACTCCAGGTAGTTGGCAGCCAGACAGCGCGCATCTTCCTGGAAAGGAGCAGAGGTGGGGATGGACTCGGCTGTGTGACACCTGACCTTGAAGCTCTCCGGGGCCCAGCAGGGGAAACTGAGGCTGGGAGGGGGCCTGCTCAGGGCTGCGCTGGGCAGGGCCTCACAGGAGCTGATTGGGCCCCTCACCTGGGGAGGCCCTGGCCCGGCCCGGCCACCCTGTCCTCTCCCCTGGGGCTCTTCATGGAGGCCGCCAAGCCTCCAGCCTCCTCTTTGTTCTGCCAGCCCGTGAAGCCCTCCCCGGCACTCTCTCCACGGCTCGGTGAGTCCTGAAATTCTCTTTCCATTAAAAATAAATGCCCCATTTTATCTGCCTGAAATGGCTCTACTCTCTGATTGTCTTTTCCACGAAGCCGTATATGGAGAACTATAAAATCATAATACAACTATTAATCCCCTGTATCTGCTTGTACCTAATTTTTATTAAAAATATCCTTGGCGCCAGCTGCCTTGTAAATTAAGGTGAGGATGAAAGGCTGTGTCTTGATTAGCCACGAAGAAAAAGAGCGTTGGGTGGAGGAGGCCTGCTCTGGAGGGCAGGACACAGCCACTGGCCGGGCCGGCTCTGGTTCCCAGAGGGGCGAGGCCCAAGCGTGGCCCCGTCCCCCCACCCCCACCGTGGCAGGCCGCTGCCCGGCTGCGCTTCGTTGAGCTCTGACCCAAGTGGACAAACTTCCCCACCTGGCGCCTCTACCTGGTGCCTCCTTCTTTAGACCGCGGCAGCAGGCGCAGGCGGTGTGCGTGGTTTTCACCCGCCGTTCCCCCCCCCCCCCCCCTCCAGGCCTGCTGAGCGAGTCCTGAGGAACCCTCCCAGGCCTCCAGCCTCAGCCGGCATTGGCCAACAGGACTGCAGGGCAGGCCCCCTGGGGCAAGGCCCTCCCAGCAGAGTGGAGGTGAGGAGCCTGGGCCTGGGCCTGGGCGGGGGCGGGGCTGCCACCCTGCAGTGGCCTGTGCCATTGGCTCTGCTCTTGGCTACCCAGGCCTGTCTGCTCCAGGGAGGCCAGCCAAGTGCTCGCAGTGCCGCGGCGTGTTTTGTGGCCCCCAGTGGCTGCCCTCTGCGCGGGCCCCGAGCCCCTCCAACTCAGCTTCCCGACAGGGCTCCAGCCCACCCCTCCCCGAGAGCCACCCAGGCTCCCGCAAGCTGGCCTGGAGGGTGGTGCCTGCTGCCCCGGGCCGGCCCCCAGCTGGGGTGGCAGGCTGGGTGGTGAGCAGCCTCCTTGCTCTTCCTACTGGGTGAGGGGACCCCGCGGATCCTGCCACTCCTGGGGCCCAGGGCGAGAGGAGCAGAAGCATTTGGACCCCCATAAGCTGCATTTTAATCACTCCTTTCCACAGCAGGGCACGTTCCCCCCCAAAGCCCCCAGTGCGCGGCCTGGGGACAGCCCAACAATCTCCCTCAGATGCGGAGCCTGGAGTCCGCCTTCCCTGTGGATGAGCTGACGCTCCCTGCGCCTCCTCAGCCACCCAGCGGGCCACACTGCTGCAGGGCGCAGCCGGGAGGGGGGGGGACAGGCCAGGGCCGGCCCGGGTGAGCCGTGCACCTTGGGCTGAGGCCAGCCCTCCCTTCCCCGCTCAGGGACCCCCCTCCCCTGCCCTCGGCTGGCCCCCGGGCCTGCCTGCAGGACAGAGACCACCTTGTGACTCACGGAGGACGGCGGGGAGCAGGTGCTTCAGCTGGCAGAGCGATTCTCGGTGCCCTGCTCAGGAACAGGCTAGCACACAGCCGCGTGCCTCACGAAGCCCCGTTCAGAATTCGCTTGTCGTTCTTATGTCTGGGACGTCTGGAGGGAGCAGGCTCTTGGGGTTCCTGTTGTCTCTTTCCCACGTAGCTTCCTCTCTGCAGAGAACTCGGGGCCTGGGGCAGCCGTGCTGCAGATCCAGCAGGCTGGGGGAAGGGCAGACTCGGGGGGCGGAGGGAAGAAAGCCACACAGGCCCCCCTGAAAGCCAAAGGCAGCCCCCTCCCCTGCACGGAGCTCAGGGCAGGCCTGGCCAGCACCGCTCCCTCCACGGCACTGGGTGGGTGCAGAATGGGGGGCAGTCAGGGGCGGTGTCAGAACTTCTGCAGCCCGGATAGGTATGGGGGGAGGCTTAGGCCCCCCCACAGGATCCCTCCTTCATAGGTGTGGGTCAGGATCCACTCCCTAGGACCTGCCAGCGGGGAGATGCCTCCCTGTCCTGCGTCCTGAATCCTTTGCATGGCGTCGGCTGGCCCCGGGTCACACGCTCAGGGACCAGCGAAGGAATTTGAGGTCTGAGGCCTGAAATAGGACCCATTCTGTCCCCAGAGTTCCCATAGCTGGGAGAGAGGACATCACCAGAGTGGCCCTGTGGGTGGGTGAGGGGACAGCCGGTCTTGTGCATCTACCACTGGTGCTACCACCGGTCCCGTGTGCCAACTGCCAATGCCAGTGCCGGCTGCTGTGTGCCAGCCACTGGTGCTGCCGCTGGTGCTGTGCACCTGCCGCCGGTCCTGTGCACCTGCCGCCGGTCCTGTGCACCTGCCGCTGGTGCTGCCACTGGTCCTGTGCACCTGCTGCTGGTGCTGTGCACCTGCCGCTGGTCCTGTGCACCTGCCGCTGGTCCTGTGCACCTGCCGCTGGTCCTGTGCACCTGCCATCGGTGCTGCTGGTCCTGTGCACCTGCTGCTGGTCTTGTGCACCTGCCATCGGTGCTGCTGGTCCTGTGCACCTGCCGCTGGTCCTGTGCACCTGCCATCGGTGCTGCTGGTCCTGTGCACCTGCTGCTGGTCCTGTGCACCTGCCGCCGGTGCTGTGCACCTGCCGCCGGTCCTGTGCACCTGCCGCTGGTCCTGTGCACCTGCCGCCGGTCCTGTGCACCTGCCGCCAGTGCTGCCGCTGGTCCTGTGCACCTGCCGCTGGTGCTGCCGCTGGTCCTGTGCACCTGCCGCTGGTGCTGCCGCTGGTCCTGTGCACCTGCCACTGGTGCTGCTGCTGGTCCTGTGCACCTGCCGCCGGTGCTGTGCACCTGCCGCTGGTCCTGTGCACCTGCCGCTGGTCCTGTGCACCTGCCGCCGGTGCTGTGCACCTGCCGCTGGTCCTGTGCACCTGCCGCCGGTCCTGTGCACCTGCCGCCAGTGCTGCCGCTGGTCCTGTGCACCTGCCGCTGGTGCTGCCGCTGGTCCTGTGCACCTGCTGCTGGTGCTGCTGCTGGTCCTGTGCACCTGCCGCCGGTGCTGTGCACCTGCCGCTGGTCCTGTGCACCTGCCGCTGGTCCTGTGCACCTGCCGCCAGTCCTGTGCACCTGCCGCCAGTGCTGCCGCTGGTCCTGTGCACCTGCCGCCAGTGCTGCCGCTGGTCTTGTGCACCTGCCGCTGGTCCTGTGCACCTGCCGCCAGTGCTGCCGCTGGTCTTGTGCACCTGCCATCGGTGCTGCTGGTGCTGTGCACCTGCCGCCGGTGCTGCCGCTGGTCCTGTGCACCTGCCGCCAGTGCTGCCGCTGGTCCTGTGCACCTGCCGCCGGTCCTGTGCACCTGCCGCCAGTGCTGCTGCTGGTCCTGTGCACCTGCCGCCAGTGCTGCCGCTGGTCCTATGCACCTGCCGCCAGTGCTGCCGCTGGTCTTGTGCACCTGCCATCGGTGCTGCTGGTGCTGTGCACCTGCCGCCGGTGCTGCCGCTGGTGCTGTGCACCTGCCGCCGGTGCTGCCGCTGGTCCTGTGCACCTGCCGCCGGTGCTGCCGCTGGTCCTGTGCACCTGCCGCTGGTCCTGTGCACCTGCCATCGGTGCTGCTGGTCCTGTGCACCTGCCGCCGGTGCTGCCGCTGGTGCTGTGCATCTGCCGCCAGTGCGGCCGCTGGTGCTGTGCACCTGCCGCCGGTGCCACCACGGGCTCCTGGAGGGGCCAGAGCGGGACTTCTCTCCTCTGGACAGCACAGTCCACCTGTCTGGCCCTCAATAGACCAAGGACAGGTTTGGAGCTGGTCTGGGCCTGGCTCTGCTGCCCCCCTGTAATTAACACAGCGATAAGCAGGCTGGGAAGGCTGGCTGATTAGTTTTTTTTATTATTATTAAAATAATGACGCCTTCCAGGCAATCAGGGGTACAGGAAGCTCAGCAGTTTTCCCTGCTTATTTATGGAGGCCTGAAGCATTGGACAGTCTCATTACCGTCTGTTAATGCCCAGGGTCATGTCCTTGGGGTGAGGTATGGCCTTTCTGGACAGGGGGCGTGGCTGCCGCTGCTCGGGGACCATAAACCCCTGGAAGTGATTAGCCAGTGCCTTGAAAGGGCATTGGACAATTGTGTTTGGCACCTTCAAGCCTCTGGGGGGCGGGGCCTGGCTGAGGTTCACGGTCAGACACCTCGGGAGGGACAGAGAAGGGGCGGGGGGGGGGGAGCTTGCCCTCACTTCCCTCCTGGGGCTGGGGCTGGAGGGGGGGTGAGGTGCCCTTGCTCAGCTCAGCTCCTGTGCATCAGGAAGCCAGGATTTCACAGACACCTGCTCTCTCCCTTCCTCCTCCAACCTCAC